TGGCGGCGGTGGCGGCGGGGGGGGGGGGGGGGGGGGGGCAGAAATGTTTATTCATCTCTAAGCCCCTCTTCTCCCCACAGTGATATTCAAGGAGGAACCATCGCCTGACTCCCCACTCCGAGGCTTCCCCCCTGGCTCCCCTTCCCCAGGGCCTCCCCACGGCTCCCCCTATTCCCCAGAGATCCCCAGGGACATGGATTTCTCTCCCAGCCGGCCCCCCTTCCCCTGCTACCCTGAAAGCACTCCCTATGGGGCCAGCTACTCCCCCACAGGCTATGGGGCACCCTCTCCATACCCCGATGGACCCCATCTGGTCACCCTCTCCCCGCCCTATCGCCACTGCCTCCCCCCTGAGCCCCCTCTCCGCTACCCCCCAGTAGAGCAATACGGGGGACCCGGGCTCGCGGTGCCTCCACCCTTCCACCCACTTGGCTACTGCTCGCCCCACTTCCAGCCCCCCACCCAGCTCACCCCTGCACAGCCTCCGGGGGAGCAGGGGGGAGCTAGGACTCCTGAATGGGGGGAGGCAGAGTCAGCAGACAGCGCGGTGCTGGAGAAGCCCAGTGGAAGCGGATACCGGGCAGCTTTCCGGGAGAGTCTGCCCATCCAGGGTATCACGCTGGAGGAAGGTAAGAGGGTATGCTCCCCTCTAGTGGGCCTCAGCGCCCAGCAAGCCCCACGTTGATGGGAAAGTAGATTCAGATGGTGGGGAGTGGGACATGGGGGCCTTTTGTCTTAGGAGCAAGGGACCATATGTCCCCAATGGGTCACCTCACCCTTTCTCCCCTCCCCTCTCTCCCCCACTAGTGACTGAGATCATCGGCAGAGACCTGAGTGACTTCCCTGAGCCACCTTGTGAGGGCAGGGGCAGCTGAGACTACAGCCCCTCCTGGGTGCTTCTTGGGCAAAGAGACCCCCCTAGAGCTGACCCAACGCAGCCAGCCAGCGAGGTGGGGGGCATTAGAGCTGGAAAGCAAGGCCTGGGCAGCACGGGGCAGGCGAGTCTGTCAGCCTGCCTGCTTAAGAACTGTCTGTCTAAGCTCCATCCATTTGTTCATCCGTCCATCCAAAAACTTACCCTTTCCTTCCTCCTTTCTAGTAGACCCATATTCATCCACCCATCCATTCCATCACAGCTCAATTTCATCCATCCATGGTTATCTTCATCTCTCCCTCCACCCATCCAGTCTTACTCCCTTCCTCTTATTTATCCATCTGTCCATCCAAGCTTGCTTACTCTCATCCATTCATCCCTTTATACCAGAACAATTCCCTCCATCCATTCCTCCAAATTTATTCACACACATTTGTCCATTCCTCCATCTGTCTGTTGGTCCCTTTCCACCTCTGCTGGAGATGGATAACTCTGGAAGCTTTTCCATCTTGCCCCATAGCTCCCCGATAATGCTACCCCATTTCCTGCCCCCACTGTACTTAGCCCCCACTGCAGGGCAGGGTGGAGGTGGGAGATGGGGCTGTCGCCCCCAACATCCCACCTTGTTGTCCCCCAACCTGAACAGTGGGGCAAATCCTTCTGCCCCACGATTGGGCCATGTGTGAGGTTTCTTTCCCTAGTGGGAACCCTGTGAACACCCCTATTTCCAACGCCCATAGTGGGGAGCCTTCTACTCACTCAAAGAGGGAGTGATCTGTTTGAGGGGGAGTAGAGTTGGGGGCAAGGTGAGCACAGGAGGGGCAAAGACCAAGGGGAGGAAATGCACATGTGGTGAACTGGAGGAGTCAGGTTGTGCCATCCCATTTCAGGGGGAGGAGCAGCATTGAAGCCCCTTAGGAGACCCCATGGATTCGGGGAGGGGCAAGTATGTTATAGGGGGTTATGGGCATGTGGCATGGACTCACCTCTCTCCTTCCTGTTCTGCGCCCTCCAGTTGCAGCCCCTGCTTTCTTTTTTGAGGGAAGGGAAGGGGTTAACAGCTCAGAGGGTGGTGGGTTATATCTATTTTTTGTATTGTTGTCCCTCCCCACCCCCACCCCCCATCTTTTTCCCAGTTGTTTTTTTTTTTTGTAATGAAATAAATGGATCTAAAAAAGAAACAAAGAAAGCCTAATACTTTAAGGGCATCTGACTGGAGGGGGTGGCATCAGGGCAGTGGTGAGGGAGGAGGGGAGGGGTGGAGATTTCAGTGGGAAAAAGTAGGATGGGGAAAGGATGCAGGGGCAGGAAGTTGGGGGAAGGGGAGGAGGGGATGGGAGTGGGCCTGGCAGTGTCTCTAGTGGAGGGAGAATGGAGAGGGGGCTGGGAAGGAATCCTTTTCTAAGCACTTGGAAGAGAAAAAAAAGTTGATTAGGAGCACTCAGCATTGATTCACCACGACAAAGTCATGCTTCATCAACCTGACTGTCTTCTATGATGAGATGACTGGTTCTGTGGATGCAGGGAGACCAGTGGATGTGGTTTACCTTGATTTGAGCAAGGCTTTTGATACAGTCCCCCAAAACATTCTTGCAGGCAAGCTAAGGAAGTACGACCTGGATGAATGGACTGCAAGGTGAATAGAAAACTGGCTGGAGCATTGGGCTCAGAGGGTGGTAATCAGTGGCTCAATATCTAGTTGGCAACTGGTGGTATCAACTGGAGTGCCCTATGGGTCGGTTTTGTTCAGTGTCTTCATTAAGGATCTGGAAGATGGGATGGGGTACACCCTCAGCAAGTTTGCAAAGAACACCAAGCTGTGGGGAGTAGTAGATACACTGCAGGATAGGGCTAGGATTCAGAGTGACCTAGACAAATCGGAGGATTGGGCCAAAAGAAATCTCATGAGGTTCAACATGAACAAGTGCAAAGTCCTGCACTTAGGATGGAACAATCCCATGCACCGGTACGCGCTGGGCAGCAGCTCTGCAGAAAAGGACCTGGGGGTTACAGTGGACAGTAAGATGGAGAGCCAACAGTGTGCCCTTGTTGCCAAGAAGGCTAACAGCATCCTGCATTGGTAGGTGTGTTGCCAGTAGGTCAAAGGAAGTGATTACTCCCTGTTATTCAGCACTGGTGAGACCACATCTGGAGTACTGCGTTCAGTTTTGGGCCTCCCACTACAGAAAGGAGATGGACAAATTGGAGAGAGAGAGTCCAGCAGAGGGGAAAAAAATGGTTTGGGGGCTAGGGGACATGACTTATGAAGACAGACTGAGGGAACCCAGCTTATTTAGTCTGCAGAAGAGAGGATTAAATAGCAGCCTTCAGCTCCCTGAAGGTGGTTCAAAGAGGATGGAGCTGGACTGTTCTCAGTGGTGGCACATGACAGAACAAGGAGCAAAGTTGCAAGGGAAGTTTAGGTTAGATATCAGGAAGAATTTTCTCATTAGGAGGGTAGTAAAACACTGGAACAAGTTACCCAGAGAGGTGGTGAAATCTCCATCCTTGGAGGTCTTTAAGACCCGACTAGACAAAGCTTTGGCTGAGATGATCTAGTTGGGGATGGCTCTACTTTGAGCAGGGGGTTGGACTAGATGAAGGTCCCTTCCAACCCTAATTTCCTATGATTTCTATGAATTAGAGAAGGGGCTAGGACAGCAGTTGGGGGGGAGGGGGGTGGAGACTTGGAGGAAATGATTGGGGGGAAGAAACTGTGTGGGGGAAGAGAGGGGTTTGGAGATCTGGGTGTCCAGTGGGGAATAGCAGGGGCGCAATGCAGGTATGGAGATGGAGGGCTGACCCAGGTATGCGCTGGTGCTGAGGCTGAGGGCCATAGTCCCCACATGGGAAGCTCAGTGTACTGGGGACCTCATGCTCCACCTGGAGGGGGAGACCTCATGAATGCAACCCCGGGGGCTCCTCCACCCCCTCCCTGAAATGCCCTGCAAGTCCCCCTGCAGCACCCAGATGTGCAGGGACCTGCTGCCCCTTAGCACCCCGTGTATAATACAGCACAGCTGCCTCTTGCACCCCTTCCCTGAGCTTCTGCTGCCCCTCGGGGCCCCACAGGGTGCACTCCTTCTCAGCCCGCCTTCCCCCCACCCCTGCCCTGCCCTGCCCTGCCCTACCCCGGGATGCAGGTGCAGCCGCATCTCTTACCACACTGCAGAGGCGCTTGCTCGTTCTGCCTCCTCCTGGGCGCACTGCTCCTCACCAGAGGTGGCTGCAGGGCAGCGGAGCCGGGTGCAGAAAGCGGTGCGTGCCAAGACGCAGCCCTTGCAGCACGGGGTGCAGGGACACGCACTTGTGCCCAGCAGGAGTGCACCCCCACCCCCGATCCCGCTCCGCCTGTCTCAGCTC